CATGCCCTGTGTGGGGGCAGGCTGGCACTGGGGCAGGGGCCAAGAGTCTCTATCTCACCAGGCTTGTGGGTTTGTGGGCACTTTACAGGCTGACACTATGGCTGTTGAACCCCCTCCCCTTCCAGCTCCCTGCCCTCCCCCCAATGGCTCTGCAGGGAGCCAGCCTCTTTTCTTAGATCCTCATTTCCTTTTCAAATGATCCTGGCTAGGATGATGGGGGCGGGGGGGGAATGGAGAAATGGGACGTAGTCGAGCTGGAGGAGGTCTGGGGACAGTCAGTGCCCCCTTGGGAGCCCCAGCCGAGGCCAGAGCCCAATGCCTTTCCTCGGCAGCCCGTTTTTATTGATAACTTCTTTTTTAAAATCACATCATTTCCAGATATAGTTCCCCCCTCTCCCTTTGCAGTGAGCCATCCCTTGCAACAAAGATGTAAAAAGAGGGGGAAAGGGCAGAAGCAACCACTGTAGCAGCCGTGTCTGAGAGTGTATTCAGTATTCCACACCTGTTGTCTCCCACATCTGACCTTCTCAGTTCTGACATTCCCTGTCCTAAAGCCCCTCCCAGCCCAGACATCCTATAATTTTAGGGAGATGCATTTCTTAAAATCTCATCACCTTCATAAAAGCCTTCCCCACCATATCAGTCAGCTTTACCTGCTATCACAGAAAGTGGGACCTGGAAGGGCCCTCCAGGGGAGATACCTTAGCTCTGACCCCCTTCTCTGATCCTGCCTTTCCCTGACTTGGGGTCCCCCCCCCACCCCTGTACTGTTTTCATTCCAACAGAGGGGCCAGGCATCTACCCCAGCTGTGATCTGGGGCGGGGGCAGGGTGAGAGGAGCAGAGAACAGCTGGTCAGGCCCAGGGAGGTCCCTTGGCCACTTAACGGGGCAGAATAACATTGAAAGGGGGTCTCCTGTGTGACGCCAGGCTCCCACCGATTTCGGCCTCTCCTGGGAGAGGCGTCTGCTGAGCCATTGGGAGCTGGCCCTGGTGCTGCCGGGCCATGCTGGTCAGCCTGGCCTTCGAAGCCCTTGACCACGGGGCTGCCTTCAGTCACCTTCCCTCCTTTCTTCCGTGGGTTCCCTGTCCCGGCCACGCAGGCCCATTCATCGTTCCCTCCCTCTCCTCCTGCCCTGACCCAGGTGACCCTGGGAGCTCCCTGAGGGTGGGGGCTGGCTTTGCTCCCTCCCCCTGTCCCCAGCACCTGGCGCTGTGCTTAGCACGCGGTAGGCGCTCAATAAATGCCAGTCAATGCGTTGGCGCAGCATGTGCCCCCCTCCTCCACCTGGCTGGGAGCCGCTGGGGCTTGCCCAGCAGATGTGGGGACCTTCCCCTCCCCGTGCTCCCGGGGCACTTTGCCTCCTTTCTCTTCGTGCCCATCTGCCCTAGCCCCAGGCTGTAGGAAGCTCCTTAGGGCAAGCACTGCTCATTCTCCAGCCCTCCAGCGGAGGGGTCTGACCAGACTCAGAAAAAAGACCCCGGGGCAGAGGGGAGACTGGACCTTGATCCTTGTTCCCAGGTCGGATCCCTCTTTATTATATTCCAGGCCAAAGCCCAGTTTAGCACAAGGCTGTGACTAGACAGTCTCCGGAGCCCTCCAACCAATCTCTTCCCTCAGCTCCCACGGTGGCCCCCAACCCCCTCCCCCTCCCCAACAGGGCTCTCTGCCTGGAATGGGGCTCCCCTCTGCATCCCCACCCCCACCCCGGGTCTCTCTGCCTGGCTCCCCTCTCCATCCTCCCCCCTGCCTCACAGGTCTCCCTTCTGGGGAGGGGCTCCCCTCTCCATCCCTCCCCACCTCCCAGCCGCGGGTCTCTCTGCTGAGAGAGGCCGGGGTTCATCTCCATAGTCTCAGATCCCAGATCAGCTCCTAGGCCGAGCTCTGTGCCGGGCACAGGGGGAGGTCCCTGCCCTCACGGAGCTGCCAGCCTCTGGTAGGAGACCAGATGCGAGCCTAGAGAATGACTGAGACCTGGCATTGCCCAGAAGACCCATCAGAGGGGAACCCTGCACCTCAGAGGACACTTGAAGGAAGGCTTCCTGATGGAGGAGGCTTTGGGAAGGGTCACTTGGGTATACTGGGTAGTTCTCTTCCTTTTAATAATTCTCTCAAGGGCTGGGGGGGGGCTGTGGAGTGAATCGTGGGTGACATAAACACCAGAGATGTCAATCAAAACCCAGGTTTACAACCATTAAGGCATCCAGTGGGTAGTGGGAAGGTCTGGCTTCCTGAGGACTGGCCATTGAAGGGGACTTGGAGCTCAGAGCTGTCCTGAAAACCTGGCCTGCTGAATTTAGCCACCAAGCCCTGGTTGACCGACTCGAGTTGAAACCCAGGGCACAGACCACCCCCAGAGGGGGCAGAGAGGCTGTCTTGTGAGGAAGGATGAAGGGCCCAGGAACAGAGGGAGGAGACATGAACGAAGGGGCTGGGGAAGGGGGGTCAGGGCAGAGGAAAGAGGAGGAGGCCTAGGGGGACATTCACAGCTGATGCCTTTCAGTGTGGCCCAGGAATGTGGGGTGATTTGGGCAAGGACAGGAAGTCAGGAGGAGAGGAGGCCCATAGGGAATTCTGGGAGCAGCCCAGGAAGGAGGGTTCTGCAGAAGCAGGATTTGGGGGTGTCACTATTGGGGGACCACTGGGGCTAAGGAAGGGCCCCTGGGCTGGGGAGCAGAGAACCTGGCAGTGCCAGCACCTGGCCTGGGCCTCAGTTTCCTCGGCTGTCAGAGGGGCTTGGGCTCTGAGGTCCCTTCCTGCTCTGCTCCCATGATGTTATTAGAGAACATTGTTCACCGAGCTTCTGTCTCCTGGAAGCCACTGAGGCTCATTTTCCCAGGCTGGGCTTTCCTGGATGCTGAGGTGGAAACCTGGCCTGCTTCCCTGGCCCCTGAGTGCCCAGAGTCTGGGGCTTCCTGGGAATGCTGCCGGCAGCCCCGGAATGCAGTCCAAAGGCTGTGGGCCGGTTTCCTTGGTTCACTGGTGTGGATCCTGGCAGGCCTGAGTGACTGGAGCAGTTGGCATTTACTCACTGGGGGCTGGGAGGGAGGCCTGTTTACTCTGAAAAGAATCTCAGTTTCCCAGCTTACTCACTCAGGAGGCCATGGCATTCCTAATGGCTGTCTCATCTTGGGAAGCTGAGATGTGAATGAGCCAAAAACCACGGTGAAGAGGAAGGATGATGAAAGCCCAGCATGACCCGGCTGGGCTGGGCCCCTGTTTCCTCACCTGGAACTTTACAGATGGGGAAACTGAGGCTGAGGGGAGGAAGTACCATGCCTTCCCCTGGTCGCCAGGGTCACTGAGTGTGCCGGAGGAGGATTTCAGAAGGGCAGAGGTAGCTGTGAGGCCTCCCTGCCAGCCAGGACCCATTTTATTTTTCACATGTCATGCTGTTGCTCACAGCAGATTTTTATAAAACGCTGTCCTCACCACAGCCCTTTGACAGAGGGGTCCTTCGGTCACCCTGAGGTGCCCCTTGCACCCTGCCCTCCTCCCCCAGCTCAGCCTTGGCCTGACTGCCTCCCCACGCTGCACCCGGCACTTGGTGGGGATTTGGTTTTGAGTTCTGCCATCTGGAGAGAGGGAGGCTGTTGGGCTGGGGTCCAGGAAGGGCCTCCTGTCCTTGGCGTTGACTCAAAGAAGGTCCCATTTCCCCTTGCTCACCAGCCCACGGGAGCCAAGCCCACCCAGCTAACAAGACAAACAAGGGGAGAAACGCTGCCCGGCCACACGGTCTGTGTCCCAGGCCCTTGCTGGGGCTCTTCATGGCTGCCCAAGACTGCATTTCCTGTTCCCTCATAAGGCCCTGGTCAAGGAAGAGAGAGGCCACAGCCTGACTGTGCAGGCAGAGAGGGGAAGCCCCTGGGGACAGAGGCCTGCCAGAGGCAGTGGGGAGCCGGTGGATACGCTCTTGGGGCTCCCTGGCCAGCTGTGTCAAGGTGGCCCTTCCCTGGTCCGGAGACTGCTACTCCATTTTACAGATGAGGAAACTGATGGTCATAGTAGCAGGGCTCCACAGCTTCTGTTTTGAGTCCAGCACTTGGCAGTCTGCCCTAGGGGAGAGAGAGAAGCTGGAAAACCTGGGTTCAAATACCACCTGAGCTCAGAGGCAGTGCCAGGGCTCCTGGTAGGTAGACCCACCAGGCTGGCCTGCTATGTTTCACTCTCTCCCTCCTCAGCCCAGAGCAGTTGCTTTGACCACAGGCACAGGGAGGGAACTTAGAGACCACTGAGTCCAACAGAGTGGGAAACTGAGGTTTAGGGCAGAAGTGGGGCTAAGCTTCCAAGCCACAGCCTCGAACTCAGGCCCTCTGGTTCCAAACCCTCTATTGCTGTGCTCTCTTGCACTTGTCTGAGGACCGTGGCCCCTGGGTGAAAGCCCTGGGGTTCCCGTGGCCTGACACCAAGCTTCCACCCCCAGAAACACCTGCCTGGCCCGCTGGCCTCTGGGCTGGCCCCTTAGCTAGCATGCACACGTCCCAGTGAAGGACTCGATGCCCCTAAATCTCTGGTCCCGTGGTACCCCGTCCTTTCTCCGTGTATGTGGAAGTCACCGTGCCTGTGAGCAGCAGGGGTCACAGTGCGTGTAACAGTGGGGGGTCCCAGTCCCCCTCGGCCGGGAAGCCTGAGCCAGGCCCCGTGGGAGCCCGCTGCATCCTAGGAAGCCCAGTCACTGGAGGCAGGAAGGCACAGGACTGCGTTGGGGAGGAGGGGGGTCATTGGTGACACCATTACTAGTCTAAGGTGGCCGTGGGGCGGCATCCTTGGGGGAGTGCAGCGCATCAGAATGTCTGGTAAGAGTAAGTGAATGCACTATGAGATCCCCGGAGCAGCGCCAGGGGCTCCTAGGTCACAGTGTTGGGGGGTCCTTCTGGGCATCGCTGCCTCAGTCCCAGGTCCGCCTCTCTGGGGCACACGGCCTGTTCCCAGGCTGCTTCTGGGGGAAGGAGAGTTCCTGCGGGCCGCGGGGAGCTCACTCCCTCCCTTTCCCCCAACAGAAGAGGAGCTCCGGAAACTGAGAGAGGAGACCAATGCCGAGATGCTGAAGCAGGAGCTAGAGAAGGAGCGGCAGCGGCGGCTGGAGCTGGAGCAGAGATTCCAGGAGGTCCTGAAAACCAGGCAAGGGCACAGCGGGGAGCAGGGGGAGGAGCTGGGAGAGCATGGTGGGGGAGGCTCCCTGGCCCGGGCCCTGCGAGCAGGAGCTGGGGCCCCCAGGGATCGGCAGCCTGAGAAACCCCGAGGGAGGCCCCTTGGACGGCCAGACAGCGCCCCCAGCCTTCCCTGACCTCCCCTGGGAAGGAGCCGCTCCTCCCCTCCACAAGCAACCCAGGCATTTCTCCGGTGGTGAGGGCCACCCTTCTTCCTCCTCAGACACTGTCTGTGTGACCCTGGCCAAGTCACTTGACTTTTTTGTTAGCTCAGCTACCTCACAGGGTGGTTGTGAGAAGTGCTCGGAGCCTGGCACATAGTAGGGGTTTTATAGAGCTCATCCCAGGCCTCTTCTTTCGTTCACCGCCCCCTCCCCAGCACAAGCCCAACTTCCTGGCAGCCCAGGCCCGCTCAGCTCAGTGGCCACCACCTGGCACTGTCCGTGGCTCTGGTTCTGACTCAGCTCACAGTTGTCATGCCCCAGCCTGGGCCCAGACCCGGACACAGCAGCGCCCGAGAAGGTCAGACCCAAAGCTGGACACTGTGCCCCTGGTCCTCAGGAATGACCCTTCTGGAGGAGAACCCTGGGTTTGCAGTCAGAGATGCTGGGCTCAGACCTGGCCGAGTCACCTACTCCATCCTGGGCCACTGCTTCCCATGCTGTCCAGTGAGGAGAAGGGCACACCAGAAGCCGTCCAGGAATCGCTGTCGAGTTGGCCGTGGGTGGGAAGCCCCGTCTGTTCGGGCCGTTGTTGGGCAAGAGGCTTACCTGAAACCAGAGCCGCCCCGAGGGCGCCATGCCCGCCCCCACGGACAGGGGCAGGGCTGCTTCCATGAGATTAATCTGGATCCTAGACAGCCCTTCTTCACATCCGCTAAGGGGGCATTTCACAGGAGGTTTAATTTTCATTTTTAAAAAAGTGTTTTCAGCGCCAACATCTAAAAGAAAAGAGACAGCAAGAGCATTCAGGTCCCCGGGGGCCCTTCCGGCCCCACACGCATGTCCTTTATCTGTCCGTTGGTGTGTCCATACACGCCCGAGCTGGGACCTGCTGACCTCGTTTACCGGCCCTTTGCTGAGCAGGGCCCAGAGGGGCGAGAGGGGACAGGCTGGACCTCCTGACACACGGTGCAGTGTTCACGCTCCTGCCTTGCTGCAGGGACACGAGCATCGTAATAGCACCTCCCGTGTGCTGGGCCCTGGGCTGAGCACTTCACAAATACTGTCTCGTGGGATCCTCACGACAGCCCTAGGAGGCGGGGGCTGCTGCTCTCCCCACTTTACAGATGAGGAAACTGAGGCAGACAGAGGGGAAGGGACTTGTCCAGGGTCACCCAGCTAGGAAGTGTCTGAGGCCGGATTTGAACTCTCTACACCGCCAGGCTGTCCCCACATGAGACACAGCTTGAAGGACTTTGCTTTACTTGGCTGTGCAGATTTCTTGCAAGGGTTTTTCTTTGTTTGCAGTGGGGGAGGGAAACATTTAATTCCACTTAGATTTCTACACTTGATCTTTCTGAGTCGGTCTGATGGGGTCCAGGGACCCCTGCCTCAATTCAGAAGGAAACTAGCTATTGTGAAGGATAGGCAGTGCAATCACCATGTGAAAAACAAAGTCAAGGCCACAGATCCCATGTTAAGAACTGCTGGGCTGGGCTCTGTCTTTTCTCTGTTAGACTGGAATCCCCCTGAGGACAAGGTGGGATGGCGGGGCTGAGTCATGTCATCCAACCCACTTGTTTTACAGGAGAGGAAACTGAGGCCCAGGTGGGTGTGACTTGGCCAAAGGCTCTGCACTGCCCAGCAGGAGGGCCCGGCTCTCCCCCTTCTGCACTGAGCTGCTCTGGGAGCTTGAGTGGCCTTGGGGAGGCACCCCACCCCCACCCCCCCCATGCTGGGGTACAGCCCTCCACGTGCGTGCACTGACAGGAACTGTATTCTTACAGAATCCCTTCTGTTTTGTGGCCTCTCTGAAGGCGCAGCTCCCGTTCTATGTGTGTGGAGCTGGGCGCTTCTCAGCAGGGGGAAGGCCTTCAGCGTAGCCCTCCCCAAGGGGCCCACGACGAGCGCTCAGAGGATGCTGGCCGGCAGTCCGGGGCCGTGGGGGCCTGAGGGCCCACCTTGTTAGGCTCCGAGAGGCCGAGGGTGACTCTGGGCCTCAGCCCAGGCTGCCAGCTTGTGCCGGGGTGGCTGTCTGTGCTAGTGCAGTGATCATCCAGGACAGATCCTAATGTACTGAATGTCCACCTTCCCCCATGGCCTGGTGGGCAATTTGGATGAGGGGTGAGGAAGGGAGCTGAAGGTCCTGGCCTAAGGAAGCAGCAGCCTTGCTGAGTAAGAGCCTGGGTGGCCCCAAAGAGCTGGGTTCAAATCCTGGCCTTGCTCCCTTCTTACACTTTGTGACTATGGGAAAGTCCCTTTCCATTCCCCCGGCAGCATCCAGGCCCTGTGTGATTTAGATCGACCGTATCCTCTGTCAGACCAGGGCTCCCTGAGGGCAGGCTCCGAGTCTTTGCCTCTTTCTGTGTCCTGAGTGCTTAGCCTGGTGCCTGGCACACAGTAGGCACCCAGTGGCACAAGGACATGGGTGTTCTGATCTGGGCTGACCTGGATGCAGCTCAGAGCTTTTGTGCCCAGGAGTGAGGAGGCCCTGCCGATTGGCTACTTCTGAGTCCCTCCCCAGTGGGCTCAGAGCTGCCCGGGCAGTGGTGCCAGCTGGCAGCCACCCTCCAGTCCCCCTTTTCCTTTCCCAGACATCAAGCCTTGTTAATAAGGCAGGGAAAGCTGTGTACTGGCCTTGGGGGGTGGGAGATGAGGGCTGGGCAGGGGAGGGGTTTCTCTTCATTCCTTCCTGATAATGGAGCCCATTTCCATGGCCCTGGGAGTCTCTGAATCCCTTTCCCCTCAGCAGCCCCTTAGGTGGGGCAGGGCCCTGCCCCTTGTTTGTAGGTGGGTTTGGGCAACTAAGGCCCCAGGGGGGAGGGGTTCAGAGACCTGTCCACAGCCTCACCCCTTACAGGTCTGGAATTCAGAACTTTGCAGTCCTAGTGGTCTGTTAAATGAGTCACCATTGTAAAATGCTCAGCACGGTGCCTGGCACGCACCAGGGGCTCAATAAATGCTTGTGCTCTTTCTCTTTGCCCTCTTGGCCAAAACCCATTGCCTTTCAAGTTCTGACTGACTCTGTAAGTGATGTGCCACCAGGCTCTGCTACCTTTGCAACAAACATCTCTGCATAACAAAGATGTTGCTCTGCCTACTTGGTCCAGACCTGAATGGAAAGGGCATCGAAGCTGACCTCCTCCTGCTGATGAGGAAATGCCCCTCAGGGAAGTGACCAGCATTAGGCCTTATGTGTAAGAAGCTGTAGCAGCCTCCTACTAAGCGCTTCTTCTCTCCACCCCCACAGGGCCGAGGAGCCACCCCCCCAGCAGCCCCCCAAGGGACCGGCGACGACACAAACCAACCACGGCTCAGGTGTGTGTCAGCATGGCCCTTCCCCAACAGGGTTGATCCTGTCTGCACTTGCACTCGGCACACAGGGCAGGTGGGGTTCTGGGTTCATACCCACAAACGGTGAACAGCCCGGGCCCAGGGCTCCTCCCCATTCCCCACAACCAGAGTGTGACCCGTGTAAGCCAAAGCATGACGTGGCACCTAGCTTCGAAGAACCTTGGAACGTGGGATGTCAGAGGAGGGAGGGGCCTGAGAACATGGGATGTCAGGGCTGCCCAGGAGAGCTGAGAAGGCCCCTTGTTGTCTAGTCCAACTGCCTGATTTTACAGAGGAGAGAGCTGCTCTGTGAAGTAGTAATTCACCATTCTGGTCCATCTTTCAGTCTTGTGAGTCTGATTAGCACGAGTCTGGGCCTTTCTGGGGGGCCCTTAAAGTCCCGTTCTTGGTCCCCTGGGGGCTGTACCTCCGCAAAGCTGCCCCGTGAGGCTCTGCCAGCGGGGGATCAGTGCTCAGAGGATCATCTTAGCTGCCCACCTTCTTTTCTTCTGCCTCGTCCCCCTTTCCTGTCTGTCTTCTTTCCCTTTCTCTCTCTCTCTCTCTCTCTCTTCTCTCTCTCTCTCTCTCTCTCTCTGTCTCTGTCTCTTTCCTTTCTCTCTCTCCTCTCTCTCTCTCACAGACACACACACCTGCACACATACACACGCATAAGCACACTCTCCTTCCCTGTCTCTCCCTTTCTTCTGTTCCTTCCCTCTCTTTCTCTTTCTCTCTCCCTCTCCCTCTCTCTCTCCTGTCTTTGTCTGTCTGTTTCCTTTCTCTCTCTCCTCTTTCTCTCTCTCTCTCTCTCACACACACACACATACACGCACACGCACACACACACATACATGTGCACCTACTCACATACACGCACATAAGCACACTGTCCCTCCCTGTCTCTCCCTTTCCTCTCTGTTCCTTCTCTCTCTCCTCTCTCTCTCTCTCTCTCCCCCTCTCTGTCTCTCTCTCCTCTGTCTCTGTCTCTTTCCTTTCTCTCCTCTCTTTCTTTCTTTCTCTCTCTCTCTGTCTCTCTCTCTCCCTCCATCTCTTTTTTCTCTCTCTCCTCTTTCTCTCTCTCTCTCACACACACACACACACACCTGCACACATACACGCACATAAGCACACTCTCCTCCCTGTTCTCCCTTTCCTCTCTGTTCCTTCTCTCTCTCCTCTCTCTCTTTCTCTCTCCCCCTCTCTGTCTGTCTCTCTCCTCTCTCTGTCTCTGTCTCTTTCCTTTCTTTCTCCTCTTTCTCTCCTCTGTCTCTCTCTCTCTCACATACACACATATGCACACACACACACACACCACCTGCACACATACACGCACACAAGCACACTCTCTCTTCCTCCCTGTCTCTCCCTTTCCTTTGTGTTCCTTCCCTCTCTTTCCTCTCTCTCTCTTTCCTCTCTGTTCCTTCTCTCTCTTTCTCTCTCCCTCTCCCTCTCTGTCTCTCTCTCCTCTCTTTCTATCTCTTTCCTTTCTCTCCTCTTTCTCTCTCTCTCTCTCTCTCATACACACACATATGCACACACGTGTACACACACACACATGCACCTGCTCACATACACGCACATAAGCAACTACTCTCTCCCTCCCTGTCTCTCCCTTTCCTCTCTGTTCCTTCTCTCTTTCTCTCTCTCCCCTCTCTCTGTCTCTGTCTCTGTCTCTTTCCTTTCTCTCTCTCCTCTCTCTCTTTCCTTCTCTGTCTCTTTCTTTTCTCTCTCTCCTCTTTCTCTCTCTCTCTTTCTCACACACACACACGCACCTGCACACATACACGCACATAAGCACACCCTCCCTGTCTCTCCCTTTCCTCTCTGTTCCTTCTCTTTCCTCTCTCTTTCTCTCTCTTTCTCCCTCTCCCTCTCTGTCTTTCTCTCCTCTCTCTTTGTCTCTGTCTCTTTCCTTTCTCTTTCTCCTCTTTCTCTCCTCTGTCTCTCTCTCTCACACACACACATGTGCACACACACACACATACGCATGCACACACACACCTGCACACTTACACGTGCACAAGCACACTCTCCCTCTCTGCCTCTCCCCAGCCCATATTTGTGCCCTGGTCCCCAGAGAGAGCTGCCCCACCCTGGTTTCACCCCACATTTACCCCTCCTTATTTTCCTGGCTCCTTCCAGATAAACGCAGCCAGATGATGCGCTCTCGGGTGCAGAAGTGGTTCTACGACAGGTTTGGGGAATACGTGGAAGATTTCCGCTTTCAGCCTGAAGAAAGCGCAGTGGAAACCGAGGAGCCGCTGAGCGCCAGAAGGTACCCCCCCACCCCTGCGCCGCAATGGGTGCCAGCAGCAGGTGGCCTCTGTGCTCGATGGGGGCCCTTGGACCACAGGAGGAATCCTCGGCCTTTTTTATGAAGAGATCATAGGGTTTGTGGTAGAAGGGACTTTCCAGACCATCAGGGCCAATCTCCTCATTTTATAGGTGAGGAAACTGAGGCCCAGAGTGGGTGGGAGCACAGAGGCAGAGCAGCCAGCCTGGGGTTTGAGCCCACAGGTGCTAACTGCCAGCCCTGCCTCCCCAGGGGCCTCCTGTCTCCAGGGCTGTCCTCCCCAAAGACAGGCCGTTTGATGCATGAGAACGGCTTCAGACCTAGGAAGTGCTGAAAGGAATTGGGGGAGGGGGCAGACCTGGGATTTCCCAGAGAGGACATTGTGCCCTGCCCTGTGCAGATCGCCACCTCACCGGCAGCTTAGCCTCAGACTAGTGTTGCCTGGGGGCACAGAGAGGTTACAAAATCTGCCCCAGCACCCAGCCAGGACAGATCAGAAGTGGGATTCGAATCCAGGTCTTCCTGGCTGCCTCTGCTGGGCATGTACCACTGAGGGCTGTGCAGCCTCCTGACGAGCGGGCCAGAATGTGTGCTGGGGGCGCGCCTGCGGCCCCAGCCTGGCCCCCGCCTGCCCTGCTTGGCCCTGGAGAGATCGGAAGCCAGCTGAGGGCAGGGCCCCGGTCTGCTCAGTGAGACGCTCCTGGGCACCCAGCCTGGACTGAACGACGTTCTCTCTCTTCTAGGTTAACTGAAAACATGAGGAGGCTAAGTAAGTGCCGGGCCGGTCCCTCCCTGACCAAAATCGAGACACCCCCCCAGTAGCTTCTGAGAATGAGCGGGTTCCCGGGTCCCCCAGCCTCAGGCTGGCTGCTCACAGCCAGGAACTGAGCTCTGTGTGTGGCCAAGGCCCTGGGTCTCTATGGGCTCCCGGGCCCACGGGTGTGGAGGGGAAGCAGGCCCTGCCCCGAGGGGGCCCCTCAGGGGCTCCCCCACTGCCTGGGTGACACCAGGAAGGCCCATTTCTGTGAATCACGCAGGCATGTTCCCCTCAGCTTTTCTGGGAGATTGAGAATACCAAGGGGGTTATCCAGCCTCCCTCACAGAGGGGGAAACTGAGGCATGGAGGGTTGTTATTTTACTTGCCCAATGCCACACAGCCATGAAGGGCCAGGGCTTGGACTAGAACCCAGGGCTCTGGTCCCCAGTTCCACACTCCGGCCAATGCACCATGATGCCCCCTTCCTCCCCTGAATGTTGTTGTTTGCTGACTTCAGCAGCCAGACCTGGGCTGGGAAGCACTGGCCGGGGTGGCCAGCTTTCCCGTCCCCCACAGAGCCCTCATCTCCATTCACGCGAGCAGGGAGAGAGGAGGGGGCAGCCCCCGGAACCATACAGACCCACTCGGTGGGCTTCGGGGGAGGTCCCAAGCCAGCCCGGCTTTCTTTTCCATTCAGTGAATGTGAGGCCCTGGGCTTGCCCGCGCCTCAGCTGCTCATTCAGGAGTTTTTGGCCACAGCTGACTGCATCCTTTGAAAAGCATCCGTGGGAAGGGGTGGCCAGGAGATGGGGCCTGACTGGGAAGGGCCCTTGTGCTTTCTTCCCAGAGCGTGGTGCCAAGCCCGTCACAAGCTTTGTGAAGAATCTCTCTGCCTTATCCGACTGGTATTCTATCTACACCTCTGCTATCGCCTTCATTGTAAGTGGGTTTTCTGGGGATGTCACCGTCCTTGAAATATTTGTGTTAGCACTCCTGCTTGGGATCACGTGGGGAGTGTCCGCAGCCCAGGGCCTCGTGGCAGGGAGCAAGGGTTCTGTTACTCCTTTGTTAATGTTTGTATTCCTGCCCATCCGCCCATCCATCCATCCATCAGTCAGTACGCTGAGTTATCCAGTTCTGTCCGTCCATCCAGTCGTCCGTTCTGTCATTCATTCACTTATCTGTCCATCCACCTCTCCATGCAGTCCTCCATCCATTCATCCATTCATCTGCCCCCTCATTCATTCATTTGTCCACCAGCTAGTTGTCTAACCAGTGATTCTTGAATGTGGCCCTCATACTAATCAGACGCCCCCTGTGGGGGCAGCTGGGTTCTTTTATGTTCCCTTTATCTCTCGCATTTCTCCTGAGGGTCCAAACCACAGTTTGTGACTTAGAGCTGAGTTTGTAAGCAGAGGCCCTGAGCTGAAAGGGGCCTCAGTGGCAGGAGCGTGGCCTGGCCCTCCTGGGCGGTCATGCAGCCTCTGTGCGGCATCTCTCGGGGATGGAGAACTCCCTCCCTCTGAGGCGTCCCACCATGGGAGCACTCAGTGGGAGGAGGCTTCTCCTCCCTGCACTCCCCTTCCCCCTGCTCCTTCATCTGCTCCCTGGAGCCCAGCAGGACCCTCCAGGCCGTCTTCCGCCGGACGTGTCCCAAGGACTCGAAGATGGTTCTTGTGGCCTGCCAGACTGGTGGTCGGCCATTCTGCACATTTGATCCCTGCCACCATAGCCATCATTCCCCTACTGCTTGCCAACTCCCACGGCTTTCCTCACATGCGTGGCCCAGGTGGACGGCCACCTCTCCAGCCCCAGACCCCGCAGTCACCTGACGTCAAGCGCCTCTTCTAGCCCCTGGCTTCTACTTGACTTGCTGTGCCGACATGGACTGGGCCTCCCCTTCCCCATCCCGGGCTCCTGTTTTTCATCCAGAGTTGGGATTTTCCACGTGCTGCTCTTTATCTCCTTTCGGGCCAGCTGAGTCTGTGGTTCTGGGCCCTTCTGGTTGCCTGACTGTCATCGGATGAGTCGGCCGGCCCTCCCAGCTTCATGGTATCCAAAGCACAGATCTAAGTGTTGATCAGGGCCAAGGCAGAGGCCAGGGGCCCTCCCCAGAGACCTCCTTTCATGCAGGAAACTCCGGTTCTCTCTGATGGGTGATCCCCAGGCTCTGGCTGAAGGCCTGCATCCCCAACGTTCTTGGTTATCCCCCGAAGCTTGGCTCTGCAGAGGAAGTGCGAGCCCTCGCCTCCCCAACAAGCCTTCACGAGTGGGGACACTTGGAAGCCAGGGCTGGGTCTGTCTCCAGGCTTTCTGGGGGCCCCCTCAGAGCAGCTCGGTGGGAGTCGGGGGGGGTGGGGCGGTGCCCATCTCACACTGATGGCCCTGGGCTGTCATCTGGCTCTTCAATCCAGGGACAGGGCCCACAGACCCCAGAGGCAGGTGAGGCCACTCCCTGGCCTTCCTGGTCCGCATTTCAGGGAAATTAGAAACTATATGAGGAACACAAGCATGTCATCACATTCCTTAACAAGAACGTGGCCTTAGAGGCTCTGCTGCTTGAAAATTTAATGAGCTAATGGCCGTGTAGAGCACGAGGAACCGCTGTTGCTGCCTGCGAGGGGGATGCCCCAGGGAGGCCAGAGACATGTTGGGTGGCAAAGCCCAGGGAGGCCTGACCCCTGTTCTAGGTCCCCTCCCAGCTCTGACTCCCCCTGTTCTAGGTTCCCTCCCAGCTCTGACTCCCCCTGTTCTAGGTCCCCTCCCAGCTCTGACGCTCCCAGTTCTAGGTCCCCTCCCAGCTATGACATCTCCTGTTCTAGATTCCCTCCCAGCTGTGACATTCAGTCATTGTCCTGGGCTACATATCTTCATCTTGCTTCCCCGTCAGCTCCTTCAGGACAGGCAGGGTCCCCTTCTTGGGTATCTTTGGGGTAGCCTCTTGCCCAGGCCTGGGAAATGGCGGGCAGTCGGTCCGTTCTTCTCTGGCTCCTGGTGCATCTCGCTTTGCTGGGGCCCCGGTGGGGGTCGAGGAGGGCCGGGGCTCTGGGACAGCTGCCTGGCCTCCCGCCCCTCTGCCCTGACAGCAGCCAGGCCCCCCGTGCTGACCACTGGCCTGTGGCCCCTCTGCCCTGATAGCAGCCAGGCCCCCCATGCTGACCGCTGGCCTGTGGCCCGGGAGCCCCCGGCAGGCCCATAACGGCCGCGTCTCCTGTGCTTCTCCTGCAGGTCTACATGAATGCCGTGTGGCACGGCTGGGCCATCCCCATGTTCTTGTTTTTAGCCATCCTGAGGCTGTCACTCAATTACCTCATTGCCAGGTATTCCCGTCATGGTTCACTGCCCCGGCTTTCCCATCCCCGGCCCAGGCATCTCCAGCCAGTGAATTGTGTCAGCATTAACCCAAGCGCCCGAGCCATCCAGCCCAGAAACTGCCCCCGGGCCCACGCCCAGCAGAAAGCCCTTCTAGGGACACAGGTGCTCTGGGGAGGCTGTCCCAGGCAAGCAGCAGTGCTCACCCAACCAGCCCTTCCCTCCTCCGTGGGGGCCCCCAGGGCACTCAGCTTGCAGTGACTCTGTGAGGTAGCTCGTGGGGGGATCATGAGCCCATTTTACAGATGAGGGAATGGAAGCCCAGAGAGGCATTTGACTTAGCCCAGGGCCAGAGACAGGATCTGAGCTGGGCTCCCCCACGTCATATCCTGCAGTGTAAGACCCTGGGCAGCAGCAGAGATCCCTGTCCAAGGGCTGGACACTGGGTCCTGATGTCTACCCATCTGCCTGTCTGGCCTCTCCCAGCCCCATGGGGCCCTTGTGATGAGGAGGGGGGGGGACAGGTCTGGGGAGGAAGGAGGCCTCCTGGGGCTTGAGGATGAGGCTGCAGGCCAGGCCCCTCCAGGGCCAAGCTGCTGACAATGATGAATGGCTTTGGAAGCCCGGGGGCCTGCATTTGGGTCTTGGGCTTTTCCCAGCTCCCCAGGCTTCTTCTGAGCCATCCCAGGACTCCTTGACCTTGGGGATGAACAGGAAGGAGCTTGGGCCCAGTGACAGGGCAGGAAGTGGGTCAGGGTTTCTGACAGAGAAAGCTGTTGGGGGTCTTGGGTCTTAGAACAGAATCTCAGCATTTTCCAGGCTAAGAGGGACAGCTAAGACCACCTCGTCCTGCCTGCCCAGTACAGCAGGATTTAGCTCTCTAGAATCCAGAAGGGAGCTTTGTCCTTGCCTGGGTTCATGGATTCTGAGAAGCCTTGAATGGCAAAGCCAGGAAGGGCCTTCTAACATAGCCTGTCAGAGATGAGAGACCCTCAGAGCTGGAAGAGGGCTTAGAACATGGAATGTCAGTGCTGGGAGGGGGCCAGAGAAAGCACGAGAGTCGACCTCAGAGGTCCATTCGACAGATGAGGAGACTGAGGCCAGACCAGGGGAGGCCTCCACCAGGGTGTCTTCCAGATTAGAGTCCAGGCCCAGTCCAGGGGTTGGTATCGCCTTGAGCACCGGCTGTCATAGGCTTTGACACTTTGCCTCCTCTTTGTGTCTTGAAAGGGGCTGGCGGATTCAGTGGAGTATTGTGCCTGAAGTCTCCGAGGTGGCGGTGAGTTCCCTAGTGATGGCCACCCGTGCTTGGGCCCAGCCTGGCTCAGCCCTGCCTGGCCACTGCAGACATGGGCCTCTCTCCTGTGTCCTGTAGAAGCACACCATCAATGCCCCTGTAACTGTGGGTGGAGTTGGGAGGGGCCTGAGAACAGGGGATGTCAGAGTTTGACCTCTTCTCAGTGGGCAGAAATGAGCCCCTGAAGATCTTTGAGCAGCCCAATAATGTGACCTGCTTTCTCTGAGGGAGAGTTCAGAGTAAGGAGGGCAGTGGTGACTCAGCGGGCGGCCTCCTCATCCTGGAAGGTCATGGACTCACCAGCCCCATTGTCCCTCCCTCCCCTCCGTCTCTTCCTCTCCCCTCCTCCGCCTCCCCTCCTCTCCCTTCCCTCTGTCTCTTCCCCCTCCATCACCCCCGTCGTGCCTTCAGGAGCCTCCCAAGGAAGACTTGACTGTATCAGAAAAGTTTCAGCTCGTGCTGGACGTGGCCCAGAAGGCCCAGGTACCCCCCTTATGCCCCCCCTCACTTTGTCTCTGCTGCTAAGGACAGGAGGGCAGTAGAATGGGGGCCTGGGGGGCCTTCGACCTTGGTTCTGCTATCGGCCCACAGCCTCCCGGCCTCCTCTGGGCACGCCTCCTTCTGATGGCCATGGTGGCCCAAGAGCAGACATGAACCGGAGAAGTCCAGGACAGCCGTGATGACCGCCATCCCCCATGTCTCGGGGTTGGTCATGTACGGCTTGTAGTCAGCTTCTCTGAGGTGGCATAAAGAGGAGAATCCTAGCTTTTCAGGATGGGGAAACTGAGCCTCGGATAGCCAGGTGGCACGGCGGCTAGCACTCTGGACCTGGAGTCCGGAAGCCCCGAGCTCAGATCTGGCCTCAGCCTGTGTCTGCCGCAGTTTCCTCATCTGTATGCGGCTGGGCGCCGGGGACACAGCATCCCAGGGAAATCGGCCTGCCCTTAGGAGCTGGAGGGGCCCCCATGCACCGAGACCCACCCCCTCCCCGGGGTTTTACAGCAGAGGCCCCAGCCTGGGGTCCCTGGAGAGGGCCCTTCCCATGCTCTTGGACCCACGTTTCTGGCCCACTTAGTACAGGCCTCTCTAGGCAGAATTTGTATGTATCTCCACCACTCCAGAGGCCCCGCCTTATAGCTGGGATGCTCCCGATGCATCTGACTGAGCTCACCAGACCGCTTCTGGGGGAGGGCCCTGGGGAGGGGAGCCGCTCCAGGATCCTGGGGCATCGATTGGTGACACCAATGGCCATGGAGCCCCTCCCAGCTTCCTCGCTATTTTGGCGGCTGCTGAAACACGACTCCTTGTTCTTGATTTTTAGAATCTGTTTGGGAAGATGGCCGACATCTTGGAGAAGATTAAGAAGTGAGTGTGAGGGAGGGTGGGGAAGGGAGGGAGGACCACGGCGGGGTGGGGGGCCTCAGAGAGAGGAGGGTGGAGGGAGGATCACAGAGGGAGGAAGGGCACCCAGACACTTCACACTCCCTCTCCTCCCCCGCTAGCTTGTTCATGTGGGTCCAGCCAGAAATCACCCAGAAGCTCTACATCGCGCTGTGGGCAGTGTTCCTCGCCTCCTGCTTCTTCCCCTACAGGATTGTGGGGCTCATGATGGGTAAGTCAAGGCTTCCTCTCCCCAAAGGGCTATTAGAATGGAGGCAGGGCCTGGGCAGTGAGAGTTGAGGCCCGGCTGCAGCCTGGGGTCACAGCTGTTCAGAGCTGCAGGGAATGGCCGGGGCCCCTGGCCTCTGCTGAGCTTCCTTGTTGCAGGCCGGGACAGCATGCAGTGGAAGGGCACATGCCGCCCCTCCATCCCACTGTAGCGCCCACTGGCCCCATTTCTCAGATGAGAAAGTTGGCTGTCCCTAGCCAGCTCATGGGGGTGATGCTAAGGGCTTTTTCTTTTCCTTTTGGGTCAGTCAATCAATAAAGAGTTGTTAAGCGTCTGCTACGTGCCAGGCATCGTGCCAGGCTCTGAATTACGCACTCAGACACACTCACACACAATACACACGTGCACTCATGCACGCACGCACACACTCAGATGTGTACATGCCTACATGCACACACTTGCGCTCACACACCTGTGCATGCACACACAAGCATACACACGCCCCTGCCGCCCCAGCTGGACAGGACTTCCGAGCTGGCCAACTCCGTTCCTCCCGAAGGTAACCATAAGGCCGCAAGGAGGGGAGCCGTGCCCCCCAGGCTGGATTCCACCCCAGGCCCATCGCTGACCGCTGCCTCTCTGACCTTTCCAGGTCTTTACGCGGGTATCAAGTTTTTCCTCATCGACTTCATCTTCAAACGCTGCCCCCGTCTCCGAGCCAAGTACGACACCCCCTACATCATCTGGACCAACCTGCCCACAGACCCCCAGCTCAAGGAGCGCTCGGCCGCTGCCGTGACCAGGAGGGTGCGTGAGTACGGGCAGCCTGGGGGAGCCCCCCCCTCCTCGGGAGTTGGGTTGGCGGCCCGGGAAGTGACCTTGCTCGGGCCCGGGGGAGATGGCCGGCGCTCACACTGCTGTCTGCGCGTACAGCTTATGAAGCACTTTGCAGACTCAAGCGGCCTCCCTGGTGGGGTAGCAGGGGGAGGAATCTTCTCCCTGTTTTACAGGAGTGGAAACTGAGACCAGGGACCTGGGGCGATTTGCCCAAGGACACAGAGATAGCTCTTAGAGCCCAGCAGGGCCTCGGACCCTTCTTGTCAGTCTGGTCCGGGGCGGGGAACCTGCGGCCTCCAGGCCACACATGGCCCTCTAGGTCCTTGGGTGCGGCCCTTTCACTCAGTCCGAGTTTTACGAAACAAGTCCTTCTATGAAGGAGGTTTGTTCTGTGGAGTTTGGACTCAGTCAAAGGGCCGCACTTGAGGACCTAGAGGCTGCAGATTCCCCACACCTGGTCCAGGCGAAGGGGCCCCCCAACGGGCACAGAAGACAGAAAGTCACAAGTGCGAGAGAGCCACAGCTCCTCCAGCCTTGCGTGGCCTGGGCCCGGGGCAGTCAGCCTCCTCGAAGGCCAGCCCGCGCCTGGCGCCTTCCGAGCTCCCATCAGCGAGCAGCAGGAGACAGGAGGCCGCCTGGGAGACCCAGGGCTGGGTGCGGCCCGGAGCCCTGCATCCCTGACCTCTTTAGCTTCTCCTGCACCAAGGTTATCCTCCGCTCAGGGAGGTACAAGGGTTGTTATGCCCATTGCCTCAGTTTCCTCATTTGTAAAATGCCAGACAGGCTCCTTTATAAAATGCAGGGGCCAGCTCTTTTTCCAAGTCTGTGATCTGTGAGCTGGACCTAGGCCCTGACTCACCGGCTCCACGGCCCTTTCCTCCACCCCGGCTGCCTTCTCAGAGATCTGGGGCTTCCTGTGTCCCAGAGCTGGAGGCGTTGGAGGGCCGGGGACCCCCTGCATTAATGCTGCCTGGGAGCCCTCTAACTGAGAGAATGAAGGTTTGTGGGAGCTCCCAAAGTGGCCCTCCAGCCCACCATGCGCGGTCCTGGGCCCCACGGGGCTCCCGGTCCCGGCGGCTGTGAAAGCGTCCTCCCTTTCTCTGCTCGTCAGTGTCACCATGTGTCTCTTTCCTTCCCGCCAGCTGTCAGGGCTCGATGAGGTAGAGACCTGAGTGTGGGCCTCGGCCGTTCTCCCCACCTTTGGGCCGCTCCCTCTGCCCCCTTCTCCTCCCTCTCCCTCAATGCCACTCACGGCTTGTCTGTCACCGCACAGCCAGTGTTTGATGCCCCAAAGCTAACCTTGGCTCTCCCCCGCACTGGCAGATGCCGCCGGGGCCAACCTGGGGCTGTGCATGTGCAGGACAAAACACAGCCGACTCCGGACTCTCCCTCCCTGCTGGGGAGGGCCAGGACAGACGGGCTCGGAGACGTGGCCAGCCGGGGCCGGGGCAGGGAGGATCTTGCCTCCTCCGGACCCTGTGTGATCTCAGGATCTGCTGCCAGCCCCTGGGGGATGGACCCCTGTGGGCAGAGTATCCATCGCTGACCATCCTGGGGCTCCGGCAGACCTTGTGTGGGCACAGCCTCAGAGACTTTGGGGTCCCTCCGGAACAGCCTCAGAAGCATGTGGCAGGAGAGAAGCTGGAACTGGGGGAGTGACTGTCTCGTTCACGGAGTGCCCGCCTGCCTTCTTTACAGCTCCAGACCACGTCCTCCAGGAGCTACGTGGGCACCAGCACTCCAGCGGGCGTGAGCAGAGATGAAGACACCGGGCGCTTCCACGGAACCAAAAAGGGAAATTTCCATGAAATCTTTAACTTGACGGAAAATGAGCGGCCCCTGCCAGGTACCTCCCTCTGTGGCCATTGACCTTCCAGGAGCGGAGCAGCTTGGTTGTCAGTGGGTGCAGACATGGCCAGAAGGGAAAGAGCAAGGCCCATCCAGGGAGGAGCCCATCTGGAGAGAAGGGCAGTGCAGGGACGAGGCCAGTGTGAGGAGGCCCGTCAAAGGAGGAAGTCCATCCAGGGAGGAGGCCAGTGCAGGGAGGATGTCCATCCAGGGAGGAGGTCAGTGGAGGGAGGAGGTCAGTGCAGGGTGGTCAGTCGGGGGAGGAGGCCAGTTTGTGAGGAGGTCCATCCAGGGAGGAGGCCAGTGCAGGGAGGTCAGTCTAGGGAGGAGGCCAGTCTGGGGACTTAGCTTCTCCTCAGAGGCCGAGGGCCCCTCTCCCACATCAATATCACCCTCCCCCAACGCTGTAGGTGCCCATGTCCATGCGTCCCTCTGTGCCCGCAAGGTCTTAGCCATGGCCTGATCTCAGGGCTCCACTCCCGAGACGCTCTGACCGACTCCAGGGGTCAGAGGGCCTGAGCCTCTGAGGAGGACCTGGTCCAGCATCCTCATTGGGCGGATGAGGAAACTGAGGCCAGAGAGGGGAAATGAGCCATTTTCAAGCGGAGTCCCTCACTGCTCTTCCCTCCCAGGCCCCCGAGGGCAGGGGTCTCCCTGGCACTCAGTAGGGCACGTGGCCCACAGTAGGTGCCTCCTGGATGGGAGGGGACTGAGCGTGCTGTTTCCTCCAGTGTGTGAAAATGGTTGGCGCTGCTGCCTGATCAACAGGGACCGGAAGATGCCGACAGACTACATCCGGAACGGGGTGCTGTACGTGACGGAAAAGTGAGTGTCTCTCGGGCTGGGCGGTGCACTGCCACGGCCTCCAGACGCGCCTCTCCGTGCCCTCGGCCACATCAGCACATGGGTCTGACACGTGTGCCTGCCGTGAGATCCCTGGGCTGGGCACCGGGCAGATGCCAGCCCTGCTGTGCTCTGCCCCACACCCAACCTGATGTGGGCAGGCCATGGGGCGGCGGGGAGGGATTGGGAAGGGCTGCCTGGAGAAGGCGGCCTGGGAGCCAGACCTTCCCGGTCATTGGGAGCTCACTGGCACAGGAGAGACGCGGTGGCGTGTCAGGTGTGGTGCGAGGGCGGCCTGGGCGCAGTGCGCTCAGCTCGGGGGTCCTAACCTGACTCCCAGGACCTTGGGGAGTTCTATGAAATGTTCCATAGCTGTTTCCCACTGAACGGGGTTCCATTGTTAGCCTTCTCTGCCATGATCCATCGATCCGTCCGGAGACGGGGTCTGTGGGTTCCCTCAGCCTGCCCAAGGGGCCCAGGAAACAGTGGGGCTGAGCACTCCCCGTCTGGAGCCTTGAGTGTCAGGTGGGAGCCCCTGGAGCTGGGGGAGCACAGGTGTGAGGGGTCCGGGCTCGTGCCCAGGCTGAAGCTGCCCTAGGGCTCCAGGGGGGGCCCAGAGGCTGCTCGCTTCTGGCTTCACATCCAGGGTCCATCCCCTGGCAGACACTGGGCTGCCTCTGCCCCAGCACAGGGAGAGCCTGGACAGGACAGATGCCTCAGGAATGCCCACACCCTGCCGAGCAGGCAGAGGGAGAGCGCAGAGGGAGCTTGGGGCCACCAGAACTGCGCTCGTGTGGGTGAATGGGCCGCCGGCCAGCAGCCTCTGATGTTTCTGAGGTGGGGATGGAGGCTTGAAGTGAGAGAAGCCTCCTTTCATTGGGCGCCTTTGCTGTGCCGAGCACTGGGTCCCAGGCTCCACAGAAGCCCGTGAGGTCGGCGGGCCGGTGGGCCAAGCCCTGGAGCCCCGGACCCTTCTCAGAATCACGGTTTGCAAAGGCTGGTGAAGGAAGCCAGGTTGGTGAGGCAGAGTGAGTGAAACATCTCAGCAGCGCTTCTCAGGCCCAGGCCACGCCCCCTGCCCAGCGTGGGCGCCAGGCCTGGCCCCTCGTTGTAGACTGGAGCCAGAGGCCCACGGTCCTGGAAATGAACCGCAGTGGAGAGCGGAGTGATAACCAATCTTCTTTCCATATTGATGGAAGTCTTAGCAAGCGCTCACAGCTACCCTGGGGGGCAGATGTCCTTATGCTCCCCATTTTACAGATGAGGAAATGGAGGCAGACAGAGGTTAAGTGACTTACCCAGGGTCACACAGCTAGTGTGAGGTAGGCTTTGAACCCAGGTCTTTCTATTCCAGAGCTGAAGTAGGCGTCATTATCCCCATTTCACAGATGAGAAAACTGAGTCTCAGAGAGGGGAGGATGCAGGCCTGAGGTCCCAGAGCTAGGATTTCTGGCTTCCATGGCCCTGCTCTCAGGCTGATCACATTCTAGGAAGGGAGCTGAAGCCTGGAAGGAGAAAACAAAAACACTCACGGCAATGGGAGCTGACCTTTGTAGGATGGGGGGAATCCAAGAGGGCTTCTGGGAAGAGGCTGCGGCCGAGGAAGCAAGTGGGCCTTCGACCAGTGGAGGCCAGGCCCAGGCTATGTCGGAGTGGAGGGGCTTCTCCTCCTTACCCCCCGGGGTCTCCTCCACCATCTTTCTTCCCTTGCAGTTATCTATGCTTCGAGAGCTCCAAGTCTGGCTCTTCCAAGAGGAACAAGGTCATTAAGCTCATGGACATCACCGATATTCAGAAGGTGCGTCCGTCTGTCTGTCTGTCCATCAGTGCGGTCTGTCTGTCCATCTGTCAGTGGGGTCTGCCTGTCTATCTGTCTGTCAGTGGGTCTGTCTGTCTGTCCATCAGTGGGATCTGCCTGTCTGTCTGTCGATGAGGGTCTGTCTGTCTGTCCATCGCTGGGGTCTGTCTGTCCATCTGTCTGTCAGTGGGGTCTGTCTGTCTGTCTCTCTGTCCATCGGGATTTGCCTGTCCGTCTGTCTGTCCATTGGTGGGGTCCATCTGTCTGTCTGTGGGGGCCTGTCTGTCCATTGGTGGGGTCCATCTGTCTGTCTGTTGGTGGGGTCTGTCTGTCTGTCCGTCTGTCCATCGGTGGGTCGGTCCGTCTGTCTTTCCGTTGGTGAGTCCGTCTGTCTGTCCATCGGTGGGGTCTGTCTGTCCTGGGTGTTGGGGGTGGGGCCAGGGCTTGGCCGTTGGTGGGAGGCCTCCTCCCTGGGGGCTGAGAGGAGGAAGAGGGGCAGGGGGGCCCATGTCCTTCCGTGCCCTGCCTGACCCCCAGGCTCCTGCTCCCCATCCACCTGCTGTCCTGGAACAGCTCCTTCAGAAGTTCCCTGAGGAAGTGGAGGCCGTGTGCTGTGAGGGTGAACCTCCCCTCCCTGGCCAGGGCCCCTTCCCCAAGGAGGCCCCGGGCCTGCCATCCTCTCTGGCGAACGGCCTCGTCTCTCCTCCCTTCTCTTTCCCAGCCCTCTGTCCTCGTTGCCTCAGTTTCTCCTCTCGCTCCCTTCTCATCTCTTTCCACTCGGGCTTCTGCCCCCATCGCGCACTCAGCCCCCTCTCTCCAGAGGGACACTCGGCTCGTCCTCCTTCCTCCAGCCCCTCACCTCGGGCCCCTGCACACACAGCACACACTGCATTTCCTCTGGGGGCCCCGGCCCTATCCAAGGCCCTCTGCTCTCCCTACGTCTCTCTCGGTGACCCCCCCCCCAGCTCCCCTAGGCCAGCTTCCCATAGTGATGCAGGTGCCTCCCAGCCCTGCGCTCCTCCCCCAGTCCCTCTGCCTGGACAGCCCCTAGGCCCCCTCCTAATGTCTGCGTCTCTGCTCTTCCTGCCTCCAAGGAGCTTCTCCTCTGATGGGAGAGTCAGTGCACGGCCAGCTGTCTGTGGCCCCGGGGAGAAGGCTTCAGGATGGAGGGAGGGTTTATCCTTTTCAAGGCCCGTGGGCGTGGCTCAAAGGCCTGTCTTTCTCTGGAGTGGAAGGGCCAGGCCAGGCGGGGAGCTTTCCTCTCCCAGGCCCCCAGACCCTGCCACCATCACTGCCATCATTATAATGATTGTGTGGTCCGGTTTGGGGCAGTGGTCAGCAGGCCCTGGAAGGAGCGCTGGGGGGTCTGTGGGGGGGGCAGCCCACTTACAGGGCGCTCTGTGTCTTGCAGTACAAAGTTCTCTCTGTCCTCCCCGGATCGGGCATGGGGATCGCAGTATCGACACCATCCACACAGAAGGTGAGGGCCTGACCCATGGCCCGTGACTATGGCCCCTCCTCAGTCTCAGTTCCTGGATTCCTTGGACTAGAAGGGTCCCTTCTAATCACTATTTCTGTCGCAGTCCAGAAGCATGAGCTCCCATGCCCCAACAGGCTCAGGCTGAAGGAGAATTTGATAAGCCCCCCCGGTGGTAGACTCGTAGAGCAGCAGGGCTCTAAGGGAACCTAGGACGAGGGATGTCAGGGCTGGAAGGGAGCTTAGAACAAGGTCAGTGACAGCTCAGAGGGGCTGAGACCCTTCCTAGCTGGGCAACCCTGGGCAGGTCACTTCACCTCTGTCTGCCTCAGTTTCCTTATCTGTGAACTGGGGATAATAATAACATCTATACCCTCCCCCACTCCCCACCCCCAACGCCGTTGTTGTGAGGATCCAGTGAGGTCCTATTTGGAAAGCACTTTGCACACTCCAAGGCACTATGGAAATACTGGCCATAATTATTAGCAGCTAGGCTACGTCAGGGCCCAGAGCGTTAGTGGAAAGGCAGGACGCAGGACATGCCGGGCCTCCTGACCCCAGCCAGGCCCCAAGGTCTCTGAGACCTGCTTCCCACAGCTCACAGTAGAGTTGCCAAGGAGCATTTGGCCCTTTCTGCCCAGTTGGCCCAAGCCCGTTTTCCTCAGCTCTTGCATTCTCCCCAGGCTGGGGCGGGAGTGGCGGGGAGGGCTGGGGGCCTCACAGAAGGAGGGGCCTGGTTTAGGGGAGGCCTGGGGGAGGCTCAGTTCCCGGGGCTGGGGGCTGGCGGCCCTCACTGTCTGACCCTGCTTTTCTGTCCAGCCCCTCGTGTTTGGTGCCATGGTCCACAGGGATGAAGCGTTCGAAACCATCTTCAGCCAGTATGTGAAGATCACGTCAGCAGCGGCGTCCAGCAGCGACAGCTAGTAGTGACCCCTGGCCGCTGGGACCTTCTCTCTTTTCTAAAGACTCTGGCAGTGAAAACAATCGGTCATCTCACGCTCTCCTTTGCAATAACGCTCCTGGTCTCGCGGATTCTCTTCCAGGTCCTGATCCTCCTTCCTCTAGGTCTCCATGTTTCTCTGTGGCGTTTCCATGAGAGGCAGTGAGGGCATTGGCCACACCCTTGGACACTGAACACTCTCCATGGTTACTCATGAGATGTGAATGGGGCAGGGGGTCCCGGCGCCCTCTGGATGAATGGGGCAGGGGGTCCTGGCGCCCTCTGGATGAATGGGGCAGGGGGTCCTGGCACCCTCTGGATGAATGGGGCAGGGGGTCCTAGCGCCCTCTGGATGAATGGGGTGTGTAGTCTCGGTCACCACACGTGGTTCTGTCACGTCCTACTTGCACAGAGCAGCTGAAAGGCGGCGCTGGAGGCCTGATGGCCCGGTCCTTCGTCCTCGGCACACCTCGGGGGCTGGTGCCTGTGTTGCTTAAAGCCCCCTTCCACCAGTTCAGGCCATAGTCGTGGAATACAGATCATCTTGGGTTCTCCGCTGAGGTTGATGGAGGAGGAGAGTTGGGTCAAGGACGAGTCTGAAATGCCACTTGACACGTCATTGGCAAGAGACTGCTCCGTCTACTCCATGGCACACAGGAGCATTGCCTCCCTACATACCTGAGGCTGCCTCCTCTTCCTGTGCTGGGATGCCCTAAAGGGGCATCTGGTGGAAGGTCCTGCAGGGGATGTGGCCCCTGAAAAGCGCCCCTTTTTCTGGCGCCACGTTGCTTCCTCATCCCCCTCCAGCTCCATGTTGGCCTTCTCTTCGGTGCCTGTGCTGGGGAGCCCCGGGAAGCCTGGCTTGAGGACGGGGCCGATGGAATTTCCCCAAGTCCGAACTGGGATTCAGGGGTCCCTCGGGAATCATCCCAGTGCCCCAGCCCACCTCTGTCAATGCCCCATCAGAAGATGCCACGGAGGGACGGATGGGCCTTCTGGGCTCCTTGGTTCCTATGGCAACGCTTGGTAGTATAGGGTAGTTAAAATTAGTCTGATGACAGCTTGATCGCCATGCTGAGATGGCCGGGCCGGCTCCAAGACAGTGGAGCTCTTGGGGGACCCATTGGCGCACCTGTCTTGTCAGTCAAGGCCCCCAGGGCACGCCCACTGTCTGAGTGCAGCGCGTTGAGCAGAGCCCTCTCACTTTGACAGTGTTCCTAGCTCATGTTTGCAGTGTTTGACTAGTGTGTGATTAGGCCCAGTGACTGATGCCCGATAGAGCTGGCGTCCCCTTGGCCTGCCCCCCACCTTGAGCTCTCTTCCTCATACACATTCAAGGGGAAAGGTGTTTGTCTGCACCAGACATGAAAGTGGGGGTGGAGAGAAGGCCAGGACAACCTTTAGTGGGTGAAGACCTCGTCTGGCCACTGAGAAGCTTCCCTCGGTAGGAGCGGTCCTGGCTTGTTTGCTTTTTCTTCACCAGAACCCAAAGCCACTTGGAATGCCTTAGAACACGAGGACGTGGGCCAGTCCTCTGCTCCCAGCGGGGAAGAGTGCCAAACGTCCTTTGGAAGTCACCTTCCTGCTGTTCCACGTGGAGGGCGTCGTGGGAAATAGTGACAGACCCAGAAACACTGTTAGCGTCATGTTCCGCCCTGCCTCTGGCCCGGACCCCAGCCTGTCCAGCTCGTCCTGCGTCCCCTGGATGTTTGTGAGAGTCGTTTTTTGAAGAAACAGATTCTATTTTTTACAGAGAGCAAGCTGTTTTTTCTTATTTTTGTATCATTTTCAGATGGAATTTTTATCTTCGCTCTGATCATAATTTGCTGGTTTGGAGAAGAAATTGGGAAGCAGCCCTCCTTCCCCCCCTTTCCCAGCCCCTCTGGTCCTCTGTGGCATCGCTGTCACCTCTGGGGGTTGGGAAAGTAGAAGAGCCAGAGTCTGGTTGGTTTCTGTGCCAAAAGCCGGTCCGTGGGGCATGGCATGGGCACGGGGCACCCCAGCTTCCCCAGGTGTGATTGGCTGCCAGATTAGGGTAGCAAGAGCTCGCTAATTCAGAATGGGGCTCGTCGGGTGCTGCCGGTCACCCAGCCCAACGATGAGCCAGACAGAAATGCCCGCGGTCACTAGTGACCGATGACCTAAACTCACACACAAGATCTGTCAGTACCAGAAGCTGGATTTCTTCGTGGCCTCGCCACGTCCAGCAGTCTTTCCTCTGTGTTCCTCCCTGTACTTGGGGCTAAGAATCCCAGCTCTGCTTCTCGCTGGCCTTATGACCTGCAGTGAACCCCCTTCTTTCTCTCCATGCTCTTCCAGGCTAAATTTCTGACCCCTGGCCCTCATCGCAGACGCATCTGGAAGCCGAAGGACTAGGGATGGTGGGTGGGCCGCATGGCTGAGATTCCGGCGTGTTACCTCCCCCAGATCTCTTCCCACTGGCTTTGGCAGGGTATTGTAGGAAATAGGGGGTGACCTCGGGCCCAACAGCCAGAGATAGACGAGACCATTGGCCATGGTATGCGGGTCGTCGACCCTCATAATGCCCTCACCAGGTGGGGCTGCTGAGGCGTCCAGCAGAATCGGATTTAACTCCTTTGGGAGAAGCGGGTGGTTGAGTTGGAATTCCTTCTAAGGAGCAAGGGAGATGAAAACTGACCACGCTGATGTCCAGCGGATTGGCTTTGGCATTCAATGCCCATGAAGCTGCCTCTTCTCTTCTCTTCCTGCGTTTCTGCCCTGCCAGGAGGGAAGCCAGCTGATTCTGGAGGGCGACTTGTCCCTGCCGCACAGTCAGCCAGCACAAACTTCCTGTCCACGTCCATGCAGACCATGAGCAAAAGCAGGAGCTGTGGATAGCTTCGGGCACGCGGAGGAGTGGAGCCTCGTCGCTGTCCCCGACCTGGGAGAATTGGGGCAGGTGCCGCGTTTCTGTGGCATGGCCCTGAGAGGGTTGGACGCGGCAATTCTGAACCTGTAAATAACCGTACCTGGAGTCACTTTTGTTCAACAAAGCAATTGTATAAAGAACTGATGAAAACAAAATTGCCCTGTGACATTTTTTAAGAAAACCTTGTTTGTTTAAAGAAAAAGTCTTGTATAAATTATAATTTTTATTTAAATAAACCTAAAATGCTTTGTGCTAATAAGTCCATCCTAACGCTTCATCGTGGGACTGGCGGTAGGGGGGTATGCAGTGCCCTCTGGTGGATGATGCTGGCAAAGACGGCGTCTTAGTGCAGTCGGTGGGAATGACTGATTTTCATTTTCATCCAGTCAGTCTTCCCAAGGAGGGAAGCAGTCCAGAGTCACAGAAGCACTGATGCCCAGAGTGTGGGGCCAGGGGCTCAACTGAGGGGCCCATCCAAACCCCCATGGCTGCCCCTCCACCACAGCAGACCCCCCTCACTGGAAGACCTCTTGGTGCCCTCCCAGCACTCCTCATGAGCCCCTTGGAGCCACACAAAACACACCTTTGGAGCCCTCCTCTGACACGCAGCATCTGGGTGGCTTTGGGAGAGCCCCTCCTCTGGGAATGGAGGGGATTGGAATAGATCTGGAATAGAGTTCTGATCTCCCAAACTGGGCCAGGTTCTAGAGTCCATTCAGAGACTCCCTCCCTCCGCAGGATAGGCATTCTCAGCTCCTTCGACCTGCCCTGGTATGGCATGACCTCAAAGCCCTTATCTTCCTAATTATCCTCTTCTGGGCAGTGTCCCTGGGGCCGTCAGTCAAGAAGCATTTATTAAGCACCGACTAATAACCCTGGGCGTGCTAAGAAAGAAAAAGGACAGTCCCTGCTTTCACAGGCATGTGTGTGTGTGTGGGGACATCATGCAGACAACTGTACTAGCAAGCAACAGACAGGATAAACAGGCAATGATCCAGCCAGGGGAGGCCCTGGCATGAAGGGGGGCCAGAAGGGCTGCCTGTGGAACATGGGACGTTAGCGGGGATTTGAAGGGAGCCGGGACATCTGTGAGTGGAGATGAGGAGGGAGAGAATTCCAGGCATGGGGACGGTCGGACAAGATTGGTGGAGGCGGAGGCAGAGGGTTGGGTGCTGGCAGCTGCCAGGAGACCAGCGTCCCTGTTCACGGGCTCTGTGGGGGTGAAAAGGCTGGGGAGGTGAGGGGGAGGGCTGCCAAGCTCAGAAGGGCTTTGAATGCCAGACAGGATTGCATATGGAGGATCTTGCGGGGGATGGAAGCCTCTGGAGTTCACTGACCAGGAAACACCTCGTCTTAACATTTCAGGGACAGGCACGGGGAGGCGGTGAGGACAGCTGGACAGACGTTGCCCCCGGGATCAGAGGACCTGGGCTCAGATGCTTCTCTGATGCTCGCTCCCATCTGTGTGACCTTGGCCAAGTCCCATGACCTGTTTTCTAATCTGTAAAGTGAGAGGGTTGGGCCAGTCTAGGGCTCTTCTGGCTATAGGTCCTGGCTCCCAGGACTTTGCCAAGCTCACACGGTGACTTAGGAGCCGATCTAGTCCAGGTCTGCTGTTTCCCAGGGCCGTCACGCTAACCCTGCCCCGGCCGCTTTCTTGCGTCTTGCCCCTGGAGAGCCATGATAAAGGCACCGCCCTTGCCGTGTTAGGAGGAGGTAAGTGCCCATCACTGCCCTCTGCTGTCTGCCTCTGCTGGCCCAGGCAGCACCCCCACCCCACAATCTCAGAATGGGATCCGTCCAACGCACAAACTTTCCCAGAGACTGCCCGGCCCCATGCCCAGGTCCAGACTGCCCCATGTTGTGGGGCAGACAACTGATGGCCGCAGACAGAGCGTAAGTAAGCCCTTGGAGGGGGAGAGGCCTCTGACCCCTGGGAAGGTGCGAGTTGGGCTGATGCCACCCCTGCCCTTGGGGAGCCTCGAAGTAGAGAGACAGGTGCGCTGCCAACAGGGACCCATGCAGTCCAGCAGACATTAAGCGCCTGTTGTGTGCTCAGTTACAGAGATGAAGAGGTCTCTATTTTCTTAAAAGCCATCTCCTGCCCTCAAAGAGCTTCCAGTCTAATAGGGAAGCTAGGAGGGGTGCACAGAGAAATCGGCACAAGATGGAAGAGGTAGGGCTGAAGGAGAAAGCCAGACAGTGCTCTGGGAAAACCGGGGCAGGCGGTGGATGGCTGGAGGAGATGGTAGCTGAGCAGAGCCGGGAGGAAGAGATGGCTGTGATGGCCGGGGACACACGAAATGTCCATCAGAGAAGGGCCACAAAAGACCCTTTGCGATCTGAGGGGTAAAGGTTGTGACCAACCAGGGAGATCATGGAAGGCTTCTTTGAAGATGTAACCTTAGAGACCAAATAATAATAATAGCTAGGACCCCTTCTACAGATGAGGAAACTGAGGCAAGCCCCAGGGCCATACAACTGGAATATGTCAGGCCAGATCTGAACCCAGCTCTTCCTGACTCTGGGGCCCCACTATCCACTGCACCACCTACCACTTGGGAATCTTTCCCTGGGCCCAGAGCTAAGGGTTCTGGATCCTTGAGGCAAATCACTTTACGAAGTTTCTAATGAGGAGGCTCAGAGAAATCCAGTCGACAAGCATTTAAGGTGATAGAGCCAGGGGCTCCAGACCCCCAGCTCCTCTTGCCGCCCTGGGCTGCCCCAAGGTGCTCCCCAGGCCCCGCCACCATGTTTGGCGGGAAGGGTGAGCTGCTGCCAGGGCCTGAGAGGCCAGGGCTGAACGGGAGGCCCACAGCGCTTTGGTACCTCCTCCCCCTGCCTTGCACTGGGCCTTCGGGGGCTGCCAGGCTGGGGGCTGGCATGTGTTGAAAGGGTGATGGCCCACAGCCAGAAAGCCTGGCTTCTAATCCTGCTCTGCCTCCCTGTTTCTGCTGGCCAGCCCCTCCAGACAGAGGATTGGTTTGTTTAGTTCTGAACCTCACATTTTAGGAAAGATGGTGATAAGACAAGATACCAGGACAAAGCCAGAGGAGTCAGTCAGTCAACATAATCAGCAAACATGTATTAAGCACCTGCTGTGTGCCAGGCACTGTGCTAAGCCCTGAGGATACTCGAAGGCTGAGAGGCCCGGCCTGCCCTCGGGGGAGGGGGTCTCCCAGGATAGGCTGAAGGAGAGAAGACTGGGGGGCCACGACTGCCATCTTCAGAGGGACCAGATTACCCAGCTCCACTGGTCCAGAGCACAGAGCTCAGGGCGGGCTGGAGGTCAGGAATTACAGAGGCCCAAAGGGGTGACCTTGAGAAGCAGGGCTCCCAAGAGGAAGCCTCCACCCTGTGGCAGGGACTTAGGTTCCAGTGTGGACAAGACCCAGCCCTTAAATCTGGTACATCACTTCACCGAGTCTCCATTTCCTCCTCTATAAAATGGGTATCGGGGGTACGAGACATGGACAGAGGCTGCTGTGAAACCTGAGAAGGCAGGCCCAGCAAGGGAGCTCTCTCCCCGGGAAGACCATCCAAGGCTGGGGAGGATGTCGGGAGAATCTGAGAGACCACGTCAGCGAGGGGCCACCCGCCACCCGCCTGCTCGGCGGCTGCAGCCCCGGGCGTCCAGGGACCTTGCTCTCGCTCCTGGGGCTTCCCATCCAGGGCCTCCCTGGGGAGGAAGGCAGTGGAGGGGCTGTGGAGGAGGCCTGGAGTCGGGAAGCCCCAGCTGTTCTCAATCACCAAGTGACAAAGGATGTTTGCTCATGGGGGGCAGCTAATGAGGTGGCACTGGGAGCCCTTCATTCAGCTCTCCATCAGTTTTTAGGTAACTGCTGTGCTCCATACGTCGCTGGGAAGGCTGCCGGGAGGGTGGTGGTGACTTCATCAGTAGGGGCTGCAATCTGCCATGGAGCCAGGCCTCTGCCAGGAGTCGCTCTGGAGTCCAGATGCCAGAAGCCCAGCCTTCCCTGGCTATGGCCTGTCCGGGCTGGGGCGCCACTGAAGAGCCCAAGAGCAGTCGGGGTCCTCTGGTGTCCGAGGAGGAAGGAGGGCAGCCGGCCAGGGAACTCTGTATTCCTGCTGTAGCGATAGGAAGACCCCATGGCTAAACAATCACAACTCTTGTTGGAATGAAATGAGACACTCAAGGGATGTCTGACCATAAATGAAAGGTGGTTTACTTTTTTGTAAGGTTATTCAGAGCAGGGATAATGAAGGACAGAGCATTTATGAAGCACCTACTGTGTGCCAGGCAGCAGGCAAACACCTATGGACTCACCAGCAGCTGTCCATGCCCCCCCCAGGGGAGGGGCTGGCACAGTGCTGACCATCCCAGAGGCAGAGCCTGGGGGCTCCCCTTGTCCCCTCTGTCCTTAGGCCAGGACGCTGTGACTGCAGCTGAAACATCTACTCGCCTGAGCCGGGTTAGACTGAAGGAGGTTCCAACCCTTGCCCGCCCGGCCAGACTGGGGCAGGGTCTTAGGCCCTCCAGCCCCTTCCTGGGCTACCTGACTTGTGTGTGGACTCGGAGCCCCTGTGCCACGCCGGGAATGCTCTTTTTGACAACTCAGGGCCCAGGGCTTGTACTGTTGTCTGGAACAATGGACCCAGGGCATGTGGGAAGACTCAGAGACACAGGTCAGAAGAGACCTCATCTGTGAGTCCCCAGAGCAGAAGGAAAGACCTGAGTGAGAATCCTGCCTCAGACACTAGCTGGAGGCCCTGGGTGAATCCCACTCTTGGATTCTGTCCCGTGAGAGGGCTGGACTCCGAGGCCTCTGAGGCCCCTCCCAGCTCAATGGGCCCGGGAAGGGGTGCCCAAGGACCCCTGGCCAGCGGTGAGCACAGCCATGCGGAGTGGATTAGGGTTCCAGAGCAGGAGAGGGGTGGGGCGAGGGGGCCTGGGGGGGGGTGCCTCACCAGTCAGGACAGTCCGGTCTCTGAGGTGGAGCAGCCAGCTACATCCATGACATTCCCCAGCAGGGCCCCAGGACAGCTTTTGCAGCCTAATTAAAGCCAGGCTACCCTGACCTGGAACTGAAGCTTAGCCTGAAAACGGTGTGAAAAGCTCAGCCTCCCTTCCCTGTGCCCACAATGTGTGAGCATACTGGGATGAGCTCTCTGAATGCTCAGCTACTTTCTGCTGTTACAAAGCCCAGCCTGCCTCCTCCAGGAAGCCTTCCCTGAGCTTTCCTCTCCGGGTCTCCTAAGGGTCCCGGCCCTGAAGAATGGAGCACTGTCCCGAGTGGG